ACGCTGGCGATGGCGCCCCCTCGAGCAGGGAGAGCGCGAGCGTCGCCCGCCGCGCCATGTCGACCGGCACGGCCGATGTGGGCGGCGGCGAGGACGACCGCCGCAGCAGCAGCGGCCGCGGTAGCGGCGGCAGCGGCGGCAGCGGCGGCGACAGCAGTAGCCGCGGTAGCGGCGGCAGTGGCAGCGACAGCAGCAGCGGTGGCAGCAGCGTCGATGACGGCGGCAGCGACAGCAGCAGTGGCAGCGACAGCGAGACGGATCTCCCGGCGCTCTGTGGGCCAGAGGCCCGGCGGCTCGCCCGCTTCGACAAGCCGGCGGAACTCACCAGCCGCCGCACTAGGGAGAACCCTCGCCGAAATCCGAGGTACGAGTCGCCCCCGTCGCCGCCCACATCGGCCCCGTCGCCGACAAGTGCCGAAGCCCTGCTCGCCTCGGTGGCGAGCCTGCCCGACAGCAGCACGGAGGAGTTCACCCGCTGGATGCTCTCGGCAGTACTTCACGTGGCGGAGGGGCTAGAGGCGAGGGTGGTGCGAGAGTTGCTGTCCGAGCGCGCGCAGGAGGCCCACGCTGCGCGCCAAGAGGCGGAGGATTTCCTGCTGGGTACGGTGGACCTCATGCTCAACTCGCCAGACGCCTTCGAGACGGCTCTGGCGTCCCACGAGCTAAGCGAATCCCCCATAGGACCGAAGCGGGATGACGAGAAGGGAGGGGAGGGAGGCCATTGGCAGCATGTTGTGGGTGTCGACGTTCTCGCGCCCAGACGTCTCGTTCGCCGTACGTGCGGTAGCGCGCCACGCCCACGCCCCGGCGAAGCGGCACTGGGATGCCATACAGAAGATCCTCGGCTACCTGAAAGGGACGAGGGACCTCGGCATCACCTACCAACGGGGATCGGGGTTAGGGCTGGCCGTGTACGTAGACGCTAGCTACGCCGACACGGAGGACAAGCGTTCGGTGACAGGGATGGCGACGACGGTTGGAGGTACCGTCGTCAGCCATGGTAGCAAGACACAGAGCATTCTGTCTCTGTCTTCGACGGAAGCCGAGTACATTGCTGCCGGGGAGGGTGTCAAGGAGGCGTTGTTTGTGCGTGCTGTGCTTTCGTTTGTCGCCCCAGAGACCAGTGGTAGCAGCATCAAGGTCCTTGAGGACAACCAGGGGGCCATAGCGTTGGTGCAGAACCCCCTCAGCTCAGGTCGCACGAAACACATCGACGTGAGGTATCATTTCATCCACGGATTGTTTAGGTCGGGGGATATATCGGTCAAGTTCGTTCCGACAACGGAGCAACACGCGGACCTCCTAACCAAGGCCCTTAGCAGGGCCAATCTGCAGTACCACCGGCGCAAGTTGATGAATTTGCCGGAGTAACTGCAGCAGTTTCTAGCACTTGGGAGAGGCCACGTTTTCCATGCGGAGAAAGGCGCACAACTGTTGCGGTCTGTGTACCAATGGCAGGAGTAGGGGGCGTTGGGAGACCATCGTCCGGGGGAACGTAGTTCCTCG